AGAAGGGAAAGCCAGTGCAGAATCAGCCGCTGTCAGCAGGGCTTGATAGCAGAGTAGCCTTCCCCTGTTGCTTGTTCTCTGCAGTCAGAGATAAGCATCTCCTGAATATAGAGTTTTCAGCTGGTCAGCGGGGCGGATGTGAATGGCTGTGATGCTCTTCCATCATTTAACTAATTCTACAGGAATGAAGGGGACACTTAAAGAGAAGGCCAAGCTTTCACTCCTCAGCTTCAGTCCATAGCTAAAACTTGCTGCTTGTGTTCTTTAACCTGATCCTTTATCAATAAGAACCATAATGGTTTTGTTTCTCCCTACCGCTTTTTTCATACCATTGATTATTGCAGTCTTCTCTGCTTCTCATTTCCACTTGCTTATTTCTGCTTTCTTGCCTTTCTTTCATTCCAAAATTCCAAACACATCTTTGGTCAGTTTCCTCACGGACTCTTTTTTCGGCTATACCACAAACTTGATTTTCTTTTAGAAGAAGAGATTGGATTTATACCCCGCGCCCTTCACTACCCAAAGGAGTCTCAGAGCGGCTTACAAACCCTTCCCCTCCCCACAACAGACACCCTGCGAGGTAGGTGGGGCTGAGAGAGCTCTCTCAAGAACGGAACTATGGCTTGCCCAAGATCACACCTGCAGCTGCATGTGGAGGAGTGGGGAATCAAACCTGTTTCTCCCAGCTTAGAGTCCGTGCTCTTAACCACTACACCAAACTGGTTCTCTCTTTTTTATATATCTTTCATTGATCTTGCTGTTTCCTACACATCTTTTCTTCTGTTTCTATGCTCATTTTTATTCCCTTCATTTGTCTGGCTCTAGTTAAACCCCTTCCCTCCATTTTTTTTGCCCTATATAACCCAATCACCCAAAGAGAAAACCATTGATATGATGGGGGTGGGGGTGGGATTATTACTTGATGCTGTAATTTTATTTTCAAGTCGGTGTTTTAAAAATAGTGATTGTGATTTTTTTTAAAAAAAACCTAAAGGAGGGGACGGCATATATTTTGAACTGTTTGCTTCAATGCCTGCTCTGGAAGAAATCCAACAAAGTGCTTCGTCTCTCAGGCACAGAGGTTTACCCTAAAAATGAAACACTGACTCCCCGCCCCACATTGAACAGCTGACCACCAATGTTCCCTCTAAGCTGCAGAGTCTTGTGAGCAAAATTTCTACTTTGTGAGCTGCTAGGCATTAAAGTTGTGAGCGAATGATTTGGCTACTGCATAAATTAGCTTGCTCTGGAGTCATCCTTCCTGAGCTAAGACAAAAATCTGTGAGCTGGAGGCTAAAGTTCTGTGAGCTAGCTCACACTAACTCAGCTTAGAGGGAACACTGCTGACCACCACACCAGCCGTGTGACAAGGTCCTTTTGGAAATCCCTGCAATTTCAAAAGCAATTTCCCATGTGGTGTGGGAGGGCTACTGTTTTGAGAAAAGCAAATCAAGCCCCATTTCACATGGTGTTCTTGAGAATTTGTCCTGTTTTGGCTTAAGATGCAATATAACATAACAGATTTGTAAATAACATGGTATGGTACTGTATGCCTGAGAATCGGAATCTGTTCCTCCTCACTCCAATAAACCTGGGACTTTTCTAAAGAAACTCCTACAGGCTTTGCTCCTGTACAAGCGACAACGTAATGGATCCAATGCATACACGTGAACTTTGTTCAAGAACAAAAGGCAACAATCATTGAGGACAGCACATCTCCATGGATATTACTGTTTTAAGCAATGACCTGTCACAAGCCAATGTATTGGAAACGCTTGTGTTTCTCTGTATTTGGAATATTTACTAGCTGATAACTGCCTAAAGCCATCAAGTAAACTTCACAACTAAGGGATTTGAGCCTCAGCTAAAGCAAACCCTCTCTCCACTGTACCACAGAGGTTTGCTATCAAAGACTGAAATCTTTTTACCTACTTAAGAGAGGTTCCATCGAAATAACTGTGAGTCCCAGTTAAACTGACTTAATGTCGGGGGATGAATGTAGTTGCAATCACATTTTTCGTAGGGTCTATTGTTAGACTTGAAGATATCCATTGGCATATAACTCTCATCTGGATAGCCCAGGATAGCCTGATCTTGGAAACTAAGCAGGGTCATCGCTGGTTAGTATTTGGATGGGAGACCAGTGAGGAACACCAGGACTGCTATGCAAACCACCTCTGAATGTCTCTTGCCTTGAAAACCCCATGAGGGGTCACCGTAAGCCAACTGAGACTTGATGGCAAAACAAAAACAAAACTCTCTGAATCAGAACTGTTAAGTGAAGGACAGTGTATTTCTACAAGTCCAGTACACTGGCGGAACATCATCCTAATGTAGCCACCACTGGACGCACTGCTGTTTCCATGTAGTGTATTATCTGCTGCTTGCCCCCAGTGTGATGGTCTGACAAAACACTTGGCCTAACAAAATGTTTGCTCATCACACAAAAGTATCCTCTACTGAGTCAGACCACTGGTCGATCTGTGTACTTTTGACTGGCAGCAGCTCTCAGATCCTTTTAACAAGAAATTGAACCTGGGTCTTTCTGCCTACACTGCTCTACCACTGAGCCATGGCTCCTCCCCTTATGCATGCATGAAGGGGCCTTAGACCGGGCCAGACCATCGGGTCTTCTCTGGTTAGCTGCGATTCTCCAATGCCTTAGTTTGAAGGCCTTTCGCATCACCTCCTAACTGATCTTTTAAATTGGAGATGCCAGGGCCTGGGGGCCTTCTGCATGCAGAGCAGATGCTCTACCACTGAGCCACAGCCCCTCCCCAAATAAAGGTATACCATAACACATCATTAATTTAATTATATGAATGGACTGTGTTTTCCAAATTTTTTATATTTTGGGGTAGGCATAGAAAAGCTGCTCTAGATCTTCCAAAAGTGAAGTTAATCATAATTAGTTTTGCAGATTTTTCTACTGGATGAGGTAACCAAGGATCCATAACGTATTTATTTATTTACTTCATTTGTACCCTGCCTTTCTCCCCAGTGGCAACCCAGAAGCAGCTTACATAATTTCCCTCTTCTCTGTTTTATCCTCACAACAACCCTGTGAGGTAGGTTAAGCCAAATGTATATGACTGGCCCGAGGTCACCCAGCGAGTTTCCTGGGTCCCCCAGATCCTATTCTGACACTCTATCCACTATACTACACTAATCCATAGTGTACTAATTATTTCCTTCAAACTTGTTACAAGAAGCTGCTGTACGGTTTGTGGAAATCTTATTCCAGCTTGCTTCAAAGAGTCTGTTTCCTCCTTTGCAGCATAAACGTATGCATTAGGAAAAATCATATCAATTTTATTTAGATCTGCCTCACTTTTGATCAGTGTCCCCATTTAGCATTCCTGAGCAGTGATTTTAAATTTTGGGTTTATGTTTTGTTGTAGTAGTAGTAGGAGGAGGTGGTGGTGATTGGATTTATACCCCACCCTTCACTCAGAGTCTCAGAGCGGCTGCTGTATTTTACTTATGTGTTTTATCTGAGTTTGTAAGCTGCCTTGAGCTCTGTAAAGAAGAACGGTGGCTAATACATTGTTTAAATAAAGAAATAATAAAAACCTTGCAAACTGAACATTAACATTAGGGAAAAAATGGACACAAGATGAACGCTGAATACAAACAAAAGTCAGCTCTACAGCGGCCCAGCATCAAGTGCATGATGCTTTCTTCACTGTCATGTTATACAGCTAGTTGGTTGTAAATTGCTACTGAAGGGTGTACAGGGACAGTCCAGCAATTTAGGAGCAGAAATATGATGGTGTCTTCACATACACATCCCCTTTGTTTCTGTAAGTATATTACAAACGTATAATTTATCTGATCTCTCTGTGTTCTCTGGCTAAAGTGGACTCTCATGCACAGAGACCTAATTCACTCAAGAAATTAACTCTAGTGAACTAATGCAAATGGAACAGTGTGGAAGGTGCCTTGGGCCAGTCACTTCCCACCAAGCCTATCTCACAGGGTTATTGTGAGAATACAGTGGATAAGAGGGAAACCATTTTCTCATCCTTGGAGAAAGGGTAGGATTTAAAATGTACTTTTACAAAACGTATTACTATGAAGAATGTGTCCAAGGCTGCTCTTAGGAGAAGCAGTCTCTGGGCCTCACCCATATACTACAAAAAAAGTAGAGCCTTTCAAGGAAAGAAGAAGGTATCAATTGGTTGAGAATTTTGGACGAAATTAATAAGAGGGGTTAACATACATGACACATTTAGCTTTTTCCCATCAGCATTCACTTTCTGTATTAACATTCACAGATACATGAAAATAGCATCAGGTGCCTTAAAAAAAACAACCCAATGTTGTACCTTTTCAGAGACAAGGAACTCCATACAGGCTCAGAGGCTCACTGCCTGAGACACCAGACTTATTGAAAGTAAACCTGCAACGTGCTCAGGCACCCACAGTAATCAAGATTTTGGATAGGTTTCTGCGCAGTTAGTTTTATTGTTTCACAACCCTTGCAGTGCATTTCTGGTTTTTTTTGTGGCTACCTGAAGGTTTCTGCGTCCTAGGAGAGGCTGCAGATGCCAACCTCCCGGTGGGGCCTGGAGACCTCCCAGCTGGCCACCCCACCGGGAGCCCACCAGCGGGGGGCCGGGTGCTCAGTGGGCGGCGGCGGCGGCTGCTCCAGTGGCAGGTAAGGAGCTCTGCCAAGAGGCGGTAAAGGGCCGCGCGGTCCTGGGGCGCGCCGAGGCGGAGGGCTGGCGGGCTGGCTGGCGGAG